CGTGTTATTCGATTTTGTCTTTGTTGTTTGATGTTTCTTCATTCACTATGTCACATACAATTGATAGTATAGTACTGTTGTTGTGGGAGATATTTTCTCCATTGGATTTGCCGCCGCATAACGAGTGGTTGTACTTGCGAGGCTGATGACCAGGACTGCCAAACGCAGTTGCGGCAGTAGACGGTACATCTCATGCAATTTGTCGCCATCAAAATGGGCCACAGAAACAGTTTTATTCCGTACACAGACAAATGCACTGTATTCACATCCAGGTTTTGATTGACAACCAAAACTATATACGACTTGTACGTAGCGGTTACCTAGATCCACCAAAATGATGCACAACAAATTCAACTCAATGCCAGAAATAGGACACGGACTTCAACTTGATTTCATAGAGAACCTTTTAATATTAGCGGATAGAATATATGCTAACCGTTATCCAATAATGACGAGTTAATGTCGAATAGCAGACTTAAATGTTATAAAGTAATTGGTACAATGTGGCGTCATCCGCGCTGGAAAATTAATCAGATTGTTAAACTTTGCGCTAGTTTGATAGAAAGAGGGCACAATTTAATTGACTGAAAATTATAAAATCTTTGCTCTATCATGCTTCATTTGACTTTACATAATGCATTATGTTAACGATAGAAAAAATCAATACGTTTTTTTGAGACGAACCCTTTAAAATGTTTATCGTCTCTCGACTCTCGTTTGTTGTTTGTCAAAAGTAATCATTTATCTAACACGTCTATTGAACAATTTGGAATTACATACATTTATAAATTTGACGTGTTATGTATACCCACAATCACGGATTACTTTCTAGTACATATATGTACAATAGGGAGACGACCTATTGTTTTAAAACGCTTGAAAATAGTAAAATATTTAAATGGATAATCATTTATGTAAACATTATTTTCCATTTTTTGTTTAGCCTAAACAGACATGTTATAGAAGAGGGACGAAAGATACCAGAGGGACAATCAAACTCATGGATCGAAAACAAAATGACAACGCTATGGCCAAAAATAAAAAGACAAACAGACAAATAATAGTACAGATGACACAACATAGAAAAATAAAGACTAAGCAACACGAACCCCACCAAAAACTCGGGGTGATCTCAGGTGCTCCGGAAGGGTAAGCAGATCCTGCTCCACATGAGGCACCCGATAGATAATGCATATTTTAAGGTTTTTCTTGTCGTATAACACACCGAGGAGTGTCAGGATTGATCAAATAAAAGACCGAACGTCAAAAAATTTAATTTTTGGCAAAGATTTTCAGCAATTGTATCCTATTTTACCGATCACATTGAAGAGGTCTATTCTTTTCTTAAGGGTTTATGTATAAATACGCCATATGGCTCATTTTTATGTAAAATGTTGCAATCGTAATATATCTCAAGCAGATAATATTCTTGTATTGAAGTTCCCGTGATTTTCCGCAGGCGGGTGTAATTGAAAAAATGTCGTGGAAAATAGGCAACTTTCGAGAAGAAGTATCATGCTAAGGATTGAGTGGAACATTTTGAAAGTTGGTGTATGGAAAGGAATTTTCTATGAACATAGTCTTTCCAATTTTTGTTTTAATTATTAATATGCACCAAAGATTTACATTTTCTACAACATCAATGAAATACACGGCTGAAGTTATTTTCTCGTTGAAGGTTAAGACAATAGACATAAGTATAATAAGACATAAAAGGCCGAGGAATGACAAAACCAGATACAATTCAAATTTAAAGAGAAACAACAACCACTGTTTACAGGCTCCTTGCTTGAGACAGGCAGACCATACCATAAAACGATGATTTTAACCTAGACTCCTTTATTTTTTAGGTCCGTTTTTGGTCCATTAGCTCATCAAATGTTGCTGTTCTTATACATCATTGACTTTCAGTTATTCGACTTTGAGCGTTCCTGATGAAAGTTAATCATTAAAAGCGTTTCGGACGCATGACATTTATAAAGTGTTTTATTTTTAATTTTTTTGTTGCAATTTTTCTAATGTTTAAGCCTTTTCTTCATAAATTGACTGAATTAAAAGCCAACAGCCGATTTGAAATGTTATTCCAGGGATAAATATGAAAGCAAAATATCTTCATAATAAACTGGTGCCACAAAGATATGTCTCGCCTTTATTTGATTTTGATAGTTTAATGCAAATGTTGAAAATAAAATGGGAATACTTTAATATGTCAACTATGCGAAAGTTTCAAAGTCAGTGAATGATGACTGAAGGTGCGATCTCTATGGAAATAAGATGTGCCAATGCTAATTAAAAAGCCTTACAAAATTTTATTGACTTGCCATTAATGGTTTCTAAATTTCATTCATATGCAGATACTTGGTGTGTTTCTTTTAACATATTTTATTGTTTGTTTTTTTATAGGAAAATATAATTCAGTTTTCATTATCCCCGCGCTCAATATAGCGGCGGAGATGATCAATAATGCTTTGCTGTTCGTTGCTCGTCGTCTTCTCCCATGAATTTGCCCTTAAGAAATTTTCTGTTCTTAATATAAAAAATAAGACGATGGGGTATGATTGCCAATGAGACATGTTATCAATCTACCAAAGACCATATGACAAAGATACAAGTAACTATACCGTTTTCAAAAATTAGCAAAAAACAAAACCTATAAAGTGTGGTCTGGCCACGCATTGCTTTCGCGTTAAAATAATGCGTCGAATTATCTTTCACGCTCAACCTTGTTTAAAAATCAACAAAATCACACTTTAAAAAATAATTTGAAGTTTTTCAAGATGAACAGAAATTCCATTTTACTGTACTTTCTGACATAACACAGATTAAGTTCATATATATCATGATTTATTTGAATGTGAAAATGTGTTTTTATCAATAAATTGCAAAGGGTTATGGGTCTCCTTTTGTATTTTCTTAACATGCACTGCATTGTTTTCCTTAGTGCACCGTATTATTGAGGAATAATACTCATTTTGACAGACATATTTCTTTTTCGGATTTTCTCCGTCTTTTGCTAATTCAACGGAGTTTTTTCACAGATTTTGAAATTGAATAGTATTTAATTACGCTCAGGGTCGGATACCAGATCTTACAAGATCCGATCGCGTGATCACCGTTATTTATTCTTTCACGATCATTTTTCTCGATTAACCAAAATGACAGCCGTGCAATAGCTTAATAAATTAACTGATAGGTTGAGAATGTAATATACTGACAAATGAATAAATTAATTACGGAAAAGGCAAATTCTCCCCTGTTTACATTTGTGTGATAAAAATGTGAATAAACAGTCAAGCATTCTACTGAGCAGTCATTCTCAAAACCAATGAAAACACCCGACACATCAATTACGCCTAATTTGCGTACTAACAGATCCATAAACAGAGCACCCATTACCACAACGTTTACGGAATACCACGTTAAATGTTAACGGAAATACCTGTTAATGTAAGTTAAGGGTCTCTCTGGTATCTGTTGCTATTGGTAAGCAAGGGAGATTGCATGATAAAGGACATTATTATTGACAATGCAAAACAATTAAAATTATTCAAGCCTTTTAAAACTATGCTATTTTTTTTGGGACAAAAAACAGGCTTATATACTTTGAAGACTTTAGTGCCAAAAGTTCAAAAGTGAAGTCAGTATGATTTCATAAATATGTTGAAATTGGCATATTTGACCACACACTGACATTTTAGCTATATTTGTACAAAATAGATATAAGTCAAGACCTTACCCAAAAAGATGTTTTACAGACATTAACATCTTTCTGAAATATATTTTGTCACAAAATCTTTTGTTTGTAAAACCCTCGCTTATATTAATGATAACATTTCAAAACTTGTCTTTTATAACAGTTTTTCAGTTTTGAACTTTGCAGTTTTAAACCCAAATATATTCAAAACTATGAATGCTGCTATCAAACAGACTTATTTCAAATGAAAATCTGATGGATGTTATTTTGTAGATATATACAACTTATTGATTTTCGAATGCAAGGGTTCAAACACTTTGGCTTACTATCATAAAACTTTCGAGTACGGTTTTCGTACTCAGACTCAGAATTCAAACATGTAATCAAAATCCTGGATTCGGTGTTTCAAGTACAAATATTGTACACCAAGTACTGAGTAAAGTTTAATGACCGAAAGTCCTGTCTTCTTTTATGTTCATACGACTTAAAGAATAAATTTCCCACTCCCCTCACAATAGTGAAAGTAATGTATATTTCATATGGGGTTAGTAAGCGTAGTTTGTTTTAAAATACTGTTAGTAGTGGTGTTACTTCCCTTTATAAAAACAACACGGCGTCGAGGAAAAATCTGAAACGTTTCAACAGGACAACAGATGAGGGTGTGGATGGAGGTTAACAGAATAGAAAATAATGCGAAAAAATATAAAGAATGGAGAAAAATGGACAAAAAAAATAAAGAATAGAAAACAATGAGGTGCTAAAATATAAAGAATAGAGAATTATGGTCAGAAAGTATAAAGAATAAAGAAAAATGGCCTAAAAAATGATAGAATACAGAAATAAAGGACCCTCATCCAGACCCTCACGAATGAAGAAAAAAGTAAAATAACAAAAATACCGAACTCATACCGAAATGGATGATGAACGAGTGAAAGAAATTCATAAAACACACTAAAAGCTAATAAGTTGTTATTGTTGGCATTTGTTTTTGTATAGACCAATGAAAGTAGGTTCTTTATATTGAAGACTTGATAAAAGTTGATAGGCTACTGGTTTAAAAGCCACAAGTTAAGATAGTCGGAAGGATAAATTCGTAACACAGTGTGTTAGTGAACTAATTCGATATATATGGGGTCAGTAAATTCCATATGGGGTTCGAGCGAACTCCATTTGAATTTACTGACCCCATAAATATCGTATTCGATCACTTTCAAACTATGTAACTAATAGTATTTTGTTAAGCTGAAAATCATCAAATGATAAAAAAGACATTTTAAAGACATGTTTTTCTAATTTATTTTCTTACCTCCCGAGATTTCTTAAACTCGTCAATAGGTAGATCACCTCCACGTTATAGTCAATCAAAGCAAACTGAATGTAATCAATCCTTGCGATTCAATAAAGTAATACACGATGAAATTAGTTTTTGCACATTTTTTTTTTCTACATTTAGTATCTAATTACTATGTATTCATCTACGATTACATAATAACAAAACTTCAATATAATGTTATATCTGATCTAGGTATGTGTCAATAACACAAAGGTTCCGAACTGAATTTGATGTCTTTGACAAAAGATATGGCACACATGTTTAATATTGATTATAGGATAATTTTCCACCATTATTCCATAGCTTATCGATAGTTTTAATACAACAAACGATGTCATTGAACAACAAACAGCTTTTCTACCCAGGCATAAATGGCCAAAGTCACATTTCGCACAACGATTAGATTTTGTTTTTTTATATTGTTCTGTTAACTTCGTTTCAGATCTTGCCTTTGACTCCAAAAATGACGATTCTTACGCAAATATGGGGTTTATGATTAAAAGAATCACTTTTTTTCTGTAAACTAACAATTCATCAAATTTAAAATCATGAGGAACAATAGTTTTTTTTTATTTCACAGTCCGACTGTTTTGGTTCGAGCTTAATGAAATTTAAGTAAATAGACTTAAATTCAGTTATCGCTGGGGCCACTGACGGATTGTGTTTCATGTTTTAGATTTACCTAACATAAGTGACGTTATATTCTGTGACGTAATTTAGTCCTTTACAGAATTTCATCGCAGCAAGCAAGCTGTTTAAATTTCGTAAGCGGTAAAATTGAAACAAAATGAAAAGTAGTATCTTGTAAATGGTAAAGTAGTGTTTGTATTGTATGGTTATAACCTGCCTCATGCTTCCAATGTTTATTAGATGTAATCTTAGAAAGAATTCATTTTATCGATCGTCATTTTTTTTATCCATTTCCATCAGGAATTTCATCGCCACGTGGAGAGCACATGCAAAGACTGAAAGAGATTGGTCCCATTATTCGTTTTCATTTTTATAAATTATTTAATTTTTACAAATATGAGTAATTAGATGCATTATTGTCCTAAGATTTGCAGATTATAATGATGATTTCGTCATTGTATTTCTACATCAAATTAGATGCATGTATATAGTCTGCCTGATACTGATAGTAAGGTACTAATATATATATATATGACGACTACTGTGATAGTCGAGTTTGGCATATTTTTACACCGTTATTGCTAGGATTTCAAACTCCTGTGGTCTAACAATTATATTTGCGCTGTAACAGATCATGCAGGTTAGTAACGTGTCTTTAATGTTTATGTGTTGTGGGGCAGGCGTTATCTGATGAACTCCCGATTTATAATTAAATTTTCCTTAAAAGGGTATACATCGGTAATTGTGTATCTAGATCTTTCATAGCACATATACAGCAAATATTCCATGAAAGGATATGAACGTTCAAAGGTGTAAAAGGGACGTACCCTTTGGGGCGAAAGGACCCAGGTTCGTAACTGGAAGTTCAACTTTCGATACAAATAAACAAAAATCTTGGAAATCTTGCACATAGACCATGCCCGGAGTTAAGAAGCAGTAGCCAAAAATCGTCATGTCTAAATGTTAGCATGCTGGTGGAGTTAAGCAAACATATATCATTATCTGTATATATCCTGCTATAAATTTTGCGTGTACCTACACACTTGTTACTAAAAACTGTCAGAGTGTCGAGTCTGTCACATCAGTCATCACAGTGACATGTATAGTTGCTACTACTCTCTAGCCTAGACTAGGTCGATATGGTATGAATAGTTCAGATAAATCATAAATTTAGTCATAATGTCATCAACAGGCCACAGCTTAAATTATTGTTGTAATAACTTAATTATATACAAATATTACACTATGTCACTATCAACTGACTGGATTTAAGAATTAATAAATATATATATCATGTATATATACTAATTTTAAATTATTTTTTTTTTTAAATTATTGTTACTATCTTCGACACAACTAGGTGTATACGTAATATTTTTATTGTTATTGTTTCTTTGTACAGTCATTTGATTTTGTTATGTCAATGCTGTAGCATGGTGGAACTAATATTTACTTTTTGTTGAGTTGTAGCACAATGTTGGGAAGATCAGTTAGAAAGCGAAAAGTGCGACCTTGCTCTGCCACAGAACACCACCAGGGTTGTAACAGTTGGACCAGAGACATAGACAACAATGACACACCAGTTTTTACAAATGGGTCACCAGACTGAACTGGATTCACGACTCATCACTCCACTAACTGCAACTCCTTTAGGTCACATACATTTGTACATTGGATCATCATCAGACGTCATTTATGCAAACCCACAGAGCTCTTCATTAGTATGTTCCAGTTAACCAGGTAATCATCATATTTACAAAAGCAGTATATTACTTTTAAGTTAAACCCCTACATGTGCATGTGATTCTAACATATAACAAACATATGTATAAAGATTAAGGCAACTTTTATTTTTTTTTCCAATCTTATGGTTTAGATTTAAAAGATTTGTGTAATGATTATATCTCAGTTTTTAAACTTAAATCCACAAAATATTGCTGAATGTGTTATTTTTACAATTTATAGAGGATGCCACATCATGCGTTAGAAATAAAAAACAATTCTTAAATATAAGGTTACAATTATATATTATTATAAATATATTACATGTGAAACTTTTAAATGTTGTTTTGTATATTATCATATGATTTGTGACATATGATTTGTAATGGAGAACACTATTGACTAATATAATATTATTTATCTTGATACATAATCTGAATATTACAAATCGATATGCATGTACTGCATGAATACAGATGTTGCAATAAAGTACCACAATTATAAAGGACAAAATTTATAGAAGTGTATATTTATTGATCACTATTTTAGGACAGACTGCAAATATTTCTGTTTGCCCAAACCCTACCAACCAGTCTCAGATGTGTGGGAAATTTTCATTATTTTTAATTTTATTTTTTTATATATTTAAGGGAAAATAGGGGCCAAAATGGTTTTATCTTGTAAACATTTTTAAAATGAGACTATTACAGATTTTTGTGTAAATTGTCAGACGCAGATAAGCGAGGATATATACATGTATGTACATGTAATATTAGCACAAACTAGTACAATTTAAGTAATTATTTACAGCTTGTCTTGCAGTCTGCTCCAAACCAGTTAAAAATCTTAAGTATTTAGGTGTTGACAACAGCTTTAATTTATATATATATACTAGAATGTATTGTAATCTTCATCCTGGAAGATTCTAGGAGTTGCTCAAATAGATGAGTATCTTACGCTGTACATTTAGGTGCCAAGCTTTGTTAATTTTGGCTGGAAGCATTATGACAACAATTTCATTTGCATAAAACCATTGGCCCTACTGCTTGCTGGGCTACTGTTGAATCCAAATTATGGTTGATATTTATTAATGGAAATTATAGTACAGGTTGAATTTCAGTTAGCATGAACACTGGGACTATTTAATATGTTAGGCTTTTAATTATGAGGGTACCTAGATGTTGTTAAGCAGCTTGTTTTTTTTTGTGTAACACAGGTCATCCTTTATAACTTGTTGGTTGTCCTAACAGGAGACATTTACCATGTTTACTTTGCATAATCTAGGCCTTCTTATGATAAGCCAAGTTTCAGGTCACCTAGACCTCAAATGGAAATAAGTTTTCATTTGGGCAACCTGGTTCAAACCCAAGACGAGACAGAGAGTGGTTGCTGCTGTTATACTAAATGTTTGTTTCTTCTTACATGTATTTAGACTCTAGTATACAGGTCCTCATAGTCATTCTTTGAAATTTGCATTTGCCTGAGTTGATCCAGTTCTTCCTGCCTTGTATTTATGGGCAGTTTTATTACATTATAAGAAATTCACTTCTACATAGACATCTTACACATTCAGGTATTTCCCATCCAATCTTTTATGGTAATATACTTTACAAAGTACAAAATGTCAGTTTACCTCAAAAGCTAACTAAACATTAAAGCAAACTTATAAAGAAGGAATACTGTTGCCTGCATAAAAAATGACATATTTTGGCTTCAATATTGATTTACTTGCAGTCTTTGCATCGGACAAAAACTCATTTATTCTTAAACCAGTTGCTGGTTGATACGGGTTATGTTCCTCTAATATATGTTATGATGATATGATACTTAACCCCCATTGGAGGGATGGTGCTAGATATTTCATATAATGAAGACATAATCTTTCGAACAGTTAAATTGAGGTCTGGAGCTGGCATGTCAGTAACTGTTAGTAGTCCATTGTTGATTTATGTAATATCGTCATTTTTCAATTTTTGTTTTGTTTGTTTTGTTACCTTTTCTGATATTGGACTCGGACTTCTTTAAACTGTGTGATTTTTACTGTGTGTATTGCTGTGTGTTTGTTTGTTCTGCATTTGGTTGAGATTTTAAATAACTTGTTTAACCCCTCTGCAATTTAGTACCTGTTCCAAGTCTGGAGCCTCTGGCCTATGTTAGCCTTGTATGAATTTTTATTTTAGTTCATATATATGGGAGTTTAGTATGACATTCATTATCACTGTTCTGGTACAAATTTTTCATTATGGCTGAAGCCATTTCTGGTTTTTAGGTGGATCACTTTAGATGCTTGCTCCCAACTGCAGATGTTTATCCCCACGGGTTTTATTACTGTTATTTCAGACCTTTAGTAACCATTTAATTGTAAGTTCCACAGCACCCAGTACATACAGATGTATCAGAGAGGACAGTCTTTCTTTTTTCATGAGTTCAGATCTTTAATTGTTTAAATGAATACATTTCCTATCTCTCTCTATGAATTGTTACGGTATTGCTTACTTTTACATTTTGTATCTCTCTCAACAAAAATTGTGACATTACTTTTACTAGGTTTGGATATTTTTTTAGGAAAATTTAACGGTTGTGTCAAAAAAACAATTTGAGGTTTGTCAGTTTTTAAGAACTTCAAGGTATTATACACTCCAGGCCTTTACATTTACCTTAACCAGAGTCATGCTGAGGTCTAGCAAATATTTACTTATCTTGTTGTTGGCTAAACTTGGTATGAATTCAGTGTGTTTGAAGCTGTCTTTTCTATTGTTTTTGAGGATTATTAAAGGGTCGGAGATCCAATGCTGACAACTAAGACAGGGGTTACAGAAGAATTATTATTTTTCTCGATTAATTATGCTTTAAATTGTATTGGTATTACATATGTTACATATACTTCCATGTAGCTATTTGCTGTACAAGAATTGTAGGAGATCCTATTAGCTTTAATGTTAGGATAGTAGATTCCTCAATAGTAAGTATGTTTTTGTAGCAGACCGACATCCTCCAGATGGGGTTGACTTAGGTCTAGGCACGGAAATGAATCTTTGTGGTGGCATGATTGTCAAGCATGTTAAAAGTTAACTCAGAACATGAAACTATGAGGATCCACCATTTTCTTAATAAAACATGTAGCAGGTAATGACACAGGTAGTTCTAGAGTGGGATTTTTGCACAATGAGATGAAGAACATGATCAGATGGATTATGCGGTTCATCAATTCTTAAGTAAGTATGGTCTCAAATTTGACCAGGTTATTGCAAAGCATGGACTTGTGTTGCTATAGAATATACAACTATATTATTGCCTTTATTATTAGCTGTCAGGGTTGCTACATAAAATATTATGATTTTCGATCAGACCAGAAATTTTTCAACTGGATGTTTTTCACTTGTCACCCTTAACATGCTTATGAAATGAATTGTTAAACATCTTGAATATATATTTGATGATATACTATAATATATTATATTTTATGGTATACAAATACAATCATATATCTTATTGTTTGGTGTAGTTTTGGTTAGTATTTTTATCTATGTAGGTAAATATGTTTTTGAACAGTTGTTCACAAAACATCATATAGATTATTTAACATATATATGTAACAAGTTGTACTTTGAATAAAAATATCTATCTACATGTATCTATCTGTAGTTATCTCATATCTGGTTCACAGCTTTGCAGCGAACCGCCCCTTTTATGGCGGTTGACAGAGTCTCTGTTTTCCTCCGTCAATGTGGCAGAATTCGCTGCATAGAATCTTAATGTTAACTATGAAATTTTAGGTTTTTGGATAATACAGACTACACTTGTGTATCCCACGCTGTTTACTAAATTTAAAGCACCAGTGTATCCCACGGTGAAAACCATACCGTATAGTCGGCTATAAAAGGCCCTGCCATTAAAAATATAAAACAATTCAATCGAGAAATTTAACGGCCTAATTTATAACAAAACAATTTACGAAAAACAAATATGACAGACATGAACCAACGACAACCACTGAACTACAGGCTGCTGACTTGGGACAGGCACATAAAGAATGTGGCGGGGGTTAAACATGTTTGTCAGCGCTCAATCTCCTCCTAACCTGGGACAGTGGTGTAACAGCACAACATTAGAACACACTATAAAAATCAGTTGAAAAAGGCTTAACTCATCAGATCGATACAAAGCAGAAAAACATAATTACAGTCCGGACGTGGCAGGGTATTTATCCATCCTTCATCCTTAACAACAAAAACAACACTAAGGTCAGATCTGAGAATATTCTCAGTTAATAGCAACTTATAAACAAATCATATATCTAAGTCTAAAATATCAATCAGTACACATCTAACATCAAATGGATTTAGTATTTTACAGGTACAGCCAAACATGCAAACCATACTTTGTATCTTTGGAAGAATTTTATAAAGGTTTTAAGTAATTTGTGGTAACAAAATCCCTGACTTAATAATTTAGCAGTAATACATAGATTACACTCATTGAAATCCAAAACGTCATTACAGACACGGGCATGGCGAACATGCTGGGATATAGAAACACCGTAAAACGGTGCCAGAGGAACATCACCGTCCAAGAAAATTAACAATAGGGAAACAAAAACATCCCTTTTGTCGTAATTATTTGTGTATAGTTTCTGGTGTAAGACTGAAATGTCTAAATCTAGGGTCAACTTTGCCTGAGGGAGTTGAAACCTTAGTCTATTTATAATTCCAAGATTTTTAAACGGACAAATTTAGAAAGATTTGTTATAAATCATGTCAGTACCGAACAATTTATGTTAACGTTTATGTTTATGTTAACAAAATCCCAGACATCTACATATTTAATTAGTGTGATCATCAAAGTAAAAGAAGTCAGAACAGATTTGGACATGGAGAACTAGCTTGGAAATAAACATACCGTCAGAACGGTTTAGAGGAACAACATTGTGCAAAACAAAGAAGTATTACCATTAGGGAACGAAGAATCGTATTTCGAAGTCACAAATTGACATTTTACCTATATTTGGACATAATAGATATGAGTCAAGACCTTACACAAACAGATAATTTACAGACAATTACATTTTTGTAAAATACATTTTGTCACAACATGTCTTTTGTTTGTGAAACCATTGACAATAATAAAAGAAAAGGCTTCTGTGACAGTTTTTCCAGTTTTGCACTTGGCATTTTGCAGCCTTCATGTAAATATATAAGACTATAAATTCAAGACTATAAATGCTGCTTTCAAACATGCTGATTTGTTATTGGAAGAATGTTATTTTCTAGATACATAAAACTTTCAGATTTTTTTTGTTTTAAGGAACAAAAACGTGGGGTCATCATACTTTTTCCTTTTATGATCATCTGAGTTAAATATTCAAATAAAGAGAATTGATTTTACCCTTCCCTCACAAAAATGAAAGTAAGACGACAACACCACATTATTTAGTATTGGTATTTTTCAGCTGAAAATCAGCAAATGAAAAAAACGACATTTTAAAGACGTTTTTCTAATTTTATTT